TTGTCTCATACTGAGGTGATGGTAAACCAGGGCGATTGCCCATATGTCAAATATTTATATGTAATAAAGCATAATTTTTGGAAATTTTTCTGAGTATCACATTCTGTTCATAATGTAGCCGCTTTCTGTGAATTCCTTTTCACAAACCCTTCTTTTTTGTATGCCTCTTTGGGCTACTGAATGGAAGCCATATATTGGGTGATACAGTAATTTATTTTGTAACCTCCAAAAAAAACTATCTTTAGTCAAGGCAATTGGAGGACACCTGCTGAAAAAAGAATTCCATCCTTCCCCTAGGAAATCCCTGCTTGTAAACAGAATGAGGCAAAAAGAAGTGTATTTTTTTAATATATAATATAACAAAGACCTGTATAGCCTGTGGACCAATGGTTAAACTACAGTATAAACTAGCATACAAACAACCTTCCTTAACCGTTTCAATGTTTGTCCATCTATGATTATGAGGCTATCACAGTATAAATATAATTGTCTTTCAGAATAGACTTGTTTTTGCTGTATTAATGGACTGCATTGCCTAATAGCTCATAGTTTTAAATAGCCCTCAAAAGCAAACACTCTCCTGGTTAGGACATTGCCTTTTAATTGAACATCTGGCACTTTTCCACTATAAATAATGCCACTGCTAATTTTTATTGATAAACCCATGATAGTTTAAAGATATGATACAGCATTTAGCCTGTTCCATCACGCTGTAGATATTTAATTTTGGTTGCTGTTTATGGTTCATTTTATGCAGTAGATGCATTCAGTACCTACTTTATTGCAAAACAGTGAAAACCCAATAGCAGCCAAAACTTTTATTTTTGTTATGAATTGAGTGGAGAAGGGATAGGGATAAGAATGTCACATAGACAAAAAGTGAGGGTAAATCTCTCCTTTAGGTACAGAGAGAACACCATCACTTTTATAGAGTAGCATAAGGGAGGTTAGAATATCTGCCACAATTTCATTGCTAGAAAAGATACTCTATCCGGAAAGGAGCTTGATGTTATCATCAACCACAAATTATTAAAAAGCTAAAAAAAATTAGACCCCCAAAAACAGATAACCATCATGCCTTCCAGGAGAGCTGGGTACCCAAAATCCCAGGAGAATGTGCTCTAGCCTATTTCCAGTGTGTATTCTCATGGAATTTCCTGGGAGGCATGATGACGTTACTTGCTGGGGCCAAGACATGGAAAAATCAAGTGTTTCAAATGCTTACTGGTAGTGTTTTCCAAAAATTATTATTTATACGCTTTTAATGTGCCTTTGAACTTACAACAAAATTTGACAACTCCAGGAAGAATCAATTTCCTAGCATAGTCCCCTTCCTTCTTCCACTTCATTGCCCTCTTGCAATCTGGGAGTGTGCTAGCTCAACGTTTTCACCCCCTTCTCCTTTACATCCTCTTATAATCTTTTATATAGCAGCTGTTGGAGAAGCGAAAAGGATTACTATAAAATGTCACTTGAGTGTCAGCTCTGAGTCTGGTGGGGCTGCTGATATCACATTCAAGATGGTGGCGCCAGCAACCTCAGGACTTTTAGATGTGTAATAGGATTGCTAATGGGCTGAATGATCAGACAGAGACTAGCAGAAACTTGTTATTTGCTAAACAGGTGCAAAGTAGAACCAGTCATGTAGAACAGGGTCAGAATAACAATGAGCATGTATATACTGCATGTTGGTAGGGCAGGGATAGCTGATAATGGACCTTCCTCTATGTGACTCGATTAACTTGTTGGGCGCCAAGTTTGGGTCACATAAAGGGACTACCCACCAGTTGGGTTTTTCTGGGCTATGCTAGGCACCTGTAACAGGATCACTCTACTGCACACATATGGGGTACCTTTACTCTGTGCCATTTTCACCAATACCCAGGGACAAGGCCGAGGTTGCCATCAGGGAATACTCAAGCTTAAGGCAGCCCTCCACTCCCAGAGATGAACGCTCAGCTATGAGGAAAGATTAGAGAAACTGAATTTATTCTATCTTGAGAAGAGGAGATTGAGGGGGGATATGATCAACATTTATAAATACATCAGTGGTTCATATAGTGAACTTGGTGTAGAGTTATTCACCCTGAGGTCATCACAGAGGACAAGAGGGCACTCTTTACGTTTGGAGGAAAAGAGATTTAATCTCCAAAAACGGAAAGGTTTCTTCACAGTGAGAGCTGTGAAAATGTGGAATAGACTCCCTCAAGAGTTGGTTCTGGCCAGGTAAGTGGATTTCTTTAAAAAAGGCCTGGATTCTTTCCTAGATACACATAATATAACTGGATACTAACATTTATAGGTAAAGTTGATCAGCCAGACTAACTATGTAACTTCAATAATACTGTCATTATCTCTAAGTCCCTAGTCCCTTCTCCTAATCAGGCTATGTGCTGCCCTGGCATACTTGCAAAGGTGGAGTCCACGCAAAGTTTCATTAGTGGCATTCCCCAGTAGCTCGAGTCTGCTGGGCGAACTCCAGGTTGGGTGGCTTTCACATCTTTCAAGTGCTTCAGTGACTGTGCTCTCAAACTCCTCCAGGGAAACCTCTTTCTTTTTCCAGGGCCTCATTAGGCCCGGACCACTGCCCCTTTTTGTAACCACAGGAGCAGTAGGTCGGACCCAAAGGTCCTGCCAATTTAAAAATCCTGGAACTAAGTTAACCCCAGCCCTTCTGTTGGAGCACATAACTAGCTAGTTCTAACCCACTTACATGTAGAATAATACAAAACAGATTTTTAAAGCAGCGATGTCTCCGTGGCTTGATCAGGGTAACCTGTGTCTGCATAGCATAGTTTCTATAAGACTCTATAACAACAGAGGGGGTCTTACTGAGAGTCATTACTTCAGTAAAACAGTTCAGAACACAAGCATTTACTTGCACTAAACCACACAGTAGAGTCCTTGGAAGCTCTGGTAACACAGGCGAACAGCTGGAGGTATCTATATTAAGCACCACCCCACTGGAACTTCTGCTGTACTCTAGTAATGATCAGGGAAGGGCTTCCCACAGTACCTAGGTCTTTTGAATAAGTTGATTGCTTTTAGGCACTTTCCTGGCTACCTGCATGCTAGTTTTGACAGAGGAGGACTTCTCATCTGGCTACTGAAGGAATGATACAGAAAAACGTATCCAACCTTGGTATGTCTAGGAACCCTAGAAGTTGTGGGAAAAGGAGTTAAAGGGGGTTGTGACTGCATCTGAGCATGGTGAGTAAATAGGCACTCTGCTACAGATGCCTGTTACATGTAAATAACTTGCAGAAAATACTTCAAATGCACATACAGTATAATCTTTGGTAGGATTGTTGTTGAAATAGTCTGCTGGGGTCCCTTTAAGCCATTTGTATTTGAGGGTAGTGCTGGATGTAAAGTGGACCTTTTGTTTTCGTGGAAGGTCTGCTGTAAGGACAGTACTGCCTGCATTGTGCACATAAACCTTGGTCTGGAAGATAGACTGTAATAACTTTTATAGACCAAAATTTGCCATGACCTAGTGTGCAACAAAACATGCACAGTAAATGCACACTTAAAGCAGTATTAAGTCCAAAAGCAAACTGTTATTATATTGCAGTTTACCAATCTTTAGACGTGATGGCTGTATTTTTTTTTTAGACTTTCTTTCTTTTATTTTCACCTGGTGATCCAGCCAGTAAGTCTGATGTTTTTCAAGAGAACAAGCTGTCCTGTAGATGTACTAGTTACAGGGTTGAGGCAAACCATTTACCAATGACAGAGAAAAACTTGCTGTAACTTATAAAGTTTTAACTGGAGTTTAGCTACAATTTGTTTAGTGTATCTAAATCTGCTAGTCCATCTAACACTCCCCTCCCCCGAAATTAACAACACTGCTGTCCAAAGGTGCCCCCCGTACTCATTCATCCAGAGACATTCTATGGCTCCATGCACAATGGCTTAAAAAATGCTGCTCCTAGAGGAGTTTAGCGTTTTGTCTGTCATATGTGTCATGCTCATTAGGTAGTCTAGAGGCTTTTTCTAACCTCTTCATGTCGGCCTCTCAGCACTTGGGCTTTAACGCTCAGCAGTCACATATATTCGGCTCTGTGTAAACAACTTGCCATGCTCAGAGCGCGCCTCCTGCATGATTCTAGCATGATAGCAGGGGGGGGGATCGGTAAGCTCCAGGTGCATACTTGCGATCGGGAGCTTTCCCACATGGAATAAAAATATATTTGAAATATATTTTACAACTATTCTTCCCAAATATATTGACATATATTTGAAATGCTACAATTTTGGCCATATTCAATATATTTCAAAATATATATATATATATAAATATATATATATATATATACTGCATGTTGAAATGCGTTTTTATTACAAAATATATGAAAAATATTTTTAAAAATACCGTATTTTCCGGCGTATAAGGTGACTTTTTACCCCTTGAAAATCTTCTCAAACGTCGGGGGTCGTCTTATACGCCGGTACACGGCATACTGACACTTTTTAGGGGGGCGGCACAGTGCCACCACCCCCCCCCCTTCCAAGGGACACTAAGTACAGGGCTGGGTAGGGGCTGCTGTCTCTTACCTGGCTCCGGTCCCACGATGATCCGGTCCAGGAAGCGCGGCTGCTCCTTCATTCGGTTCGGCCACTGGATGTTCGCGTGGCTGCTCGGCTCCGCCTCCTCACCGGTGATTGGCCGCCAGAACTGTAGCTCAGGAAAGGCACACAGGCGGCCAATCACCGGCGAGGAGGCGGAGCCGAGCGGCCCCGCAAAACTCGAGTGAAGGAGCGGCCGGTAAGTGTGCAGTCCAGAGGTGCTGCTGCAACCAGATATGCTTGCTGCAGCAGCACCATACTGGAACAGGGGCCAGCAAGTGTCATTGGTAGGAATAGTGCCCCATCATTGGTGTCACGGATACCAATTATGGGGCACTATTCCTCCCACTGACACCAACGATGGGGCACTTTTCCTCCCCCCCACTGACACCAACGATGGGGCACTATTCCTCCCCCCCCCACTGACACCAACGATGGGGCACTATTCCTCCCCCCCCACTGACACCAACGATGGGGCACTTTTCTTCCCCCCCACTGACACCAACGATGGGGCACTATTCCTTCCCCCCACTGACACCAATGATGGGGCACTATTCCACCCCCCACTGACACCAATGATGGGATACTATTCCTCCCACTAACACCAATGTTGGGACACTATTCCTCCCACTGACACCAATGATGGGGCACGATTCCTCCCACTGACACCAATGATGGGGCACTATTCCTCCCACTGACACCAATGATGGGGCACGATTCCTCCCACTGACACCAATGATGGGGCACGATTCCCCCCACTGATACCAATGATGGGGCACGATTCCCCCCACTGATACTAATGATGGGGCACTATTCCTGCCACTAATACCAATGATGGGGCGCTATTCCTCCCACTGACACCAATGATGGGGCGCTATTCCTCCCACTGACACCAATGATGGGGCGCTATTCCTCCCACTGACACCAATGATGGGGCGCTATTCCTCCCACTGACACCAATGATGGGGCACTATTCCTCCCACTGACACCAATGATGGGACACTATTCCTCCCACTGACACCAATGATAGGGCACTATTCCTCCCACTGACACCAATGATGGGACACTATTCCTCCCACTGACACCAATGATGGGACATTATTCCTCCCACTGACACCAATGATGGGGCACGATTCTTCCCACTGGTGTGCATTGGAAGAGGGGTAGTCTTATACGGCGAGTATAGCCTAAACACTACATTTTAACAGGAAAAGTAGGGGGGTCGTCTTATACGCCCAGTCGTCTTATACGCCGGCAAATACGGTACATTTCAATATACTGTATGTCTTTAAGAATATAATTCTACATTTTTGGAATGCATTTACAAATATATGTAAAAATATATGTTAAAATGACTTTTTTATATGTTAACCACTTGCCGCCCTGCTACTGTAGAAATACGGTGGCAGGGCGGCACTGGCAGGCAAAACCACGTTTTAAAACGCGTGTTTTGTAAACAGATAGGGCGGCGGCACGCCTCGCGCGCGCGCCCCTATCTGTCCCGCCGATCACCGCCGCAGATGTCAGTCGCCGGGTCACAGCCGGTCTTTACCGGCTGTTTCCCGGCGATCGGCGGCAAACAGTGACAGACAGCACAGCTGCAGTAGCTGTGCTGTCTGTCACTTCCCTGACAGCTCGAGAACGAGCTGATCAAGAAAGAAGAGTTTCTCTCTCTCGATCAGCCTTGTCCCGTCCAGCACACACCCCCGCCCCCTAGTAAAACACTCCCCTCACTCAGATAACCCTTCCCTGCAAACTAAAATTAACCCCTTCCTCCCCAGTGCCATTAGTACAGTGTCAGTGTCCTGCCTTCTCTGCAGTTATGAAAGGGTTACAGAGGGTTACAGGCAGTATAACCTTTGATATCCACACAGTAACGAGTCGATGATTGATAACCCATGATCTTTTACTGATAACATGTGAACATAGTACATGAAGTGTGAATGTGAATACGAATGAATGAATGGTAAAACTGAAATACAAACAGAATAAACAGACATGAGTACATATCTAACTACCTAGTTATATACATAACATTCCACAGTACATAGGAGGGGTACTTACAGACTTTGGGGGTCTAATCAAGCCCATATATGAAGAGGGAACAGCATCCCACATCTACTCACATAGTAGAATTTCTTCAGTCTGAAGAGATGAGGTCACTTCCTCCCAAGTTAGCAAACAGGACGTCCCTGGCCTTAAAGGGGACAGACACTGCTGAATGCTAAAGAATGCCTTGTGTAATACAGGGCAGCACAGTCAGTGTTTTTTTTTTTTTTGCACTGATCACTGTATTAGTGTTTTTGGGGATGTCAGTGACCCCAAGTCAGTACCCTTCAATGTCAGAATGTCCGCCGCAGTCCCGCCATAAGTCGCTGGTCGCTGCCATAAGTCACTGATCGCCGCCATAATTCGCTGATCGCCGCCATTATTAGTATAAAAAAAACCCTAAAAATCCCAATATCTTTCCCGCCATTTGTAAACGCTATAACTTTCACATAAACCAATTAATTTACACGTATTGGTTTTTTTTTTTTAGCAAAGACATGTTGCAGAATGCATTTTGGCAGAAATTTATGACTAAATTTGATTTTTGCATTTTTTTTTACTGGACATGTTTTATAGCAAAAAGTCCAAAATATTGTTTTTTTTTCCTCAAAATTGTCAGCCTTTTTTTTATAGCGCAAAAAATAAAAAACGCCCAGGCAATAAAGTACCACCAAAAAAAAGTTCAATTTGTGGGGAAAAAAAGGATGTAAATTTCATTTATGTACCGTATTGCATGACCGTGCAATTGTCTGTTAAACTAGCACAGCGCTGTATAGCAGAAAAATGGCGTAAATTGCAGTATTTATACCATAGTTTGTAGACGCTATAACTTCCACACAAAGCAATCAATATACACTCATTGGGATTTTTTTTACCAAAAGCAGAATACATTTTGGCCTAAATTTATAACCAACTTTGAGTTTACTATATATTTTTTTATAGCTGAAAGTAAAAAAATATTGTTTTTCTTCAAAATTTTTGGCTTTTTTTTGTTTATAGCATGAAAAATAAAAAGCGCACAGGTGATCAAATTACACCGAAAGAAAGCTCTATTTGTGTGAAAAAAAGGACGTAAATTTCATTTGGGTGCAGCATTGCATGACCGCGCAATTATCAGTTGAATTAGTGCAGCGCCGAGTAGCAAAAAGAGGCCTGGTCATTAAGGGGGGTAAATCCTCTGGAGGTCAAGTGGTTAAAAAAAAATTTGAAGAATATGTTTTTTAAAAAATATATTTTTAAAAATATATATTTTTAAATATATTCTTCAGATTTTTTTTAACTTGTAAATGCATTCCAAAAATGTAGATTTGTAGTTTTAAAGACATACAGTATATTTGAAATGTATTTTTCAAAATATTTTTCATATATTTTGTAATAAAAACGCATTTCTACGTGCAGTATATGTATATATATTTATTTTAATATATTTTGAAATTTATTGAATATGGCCAAAATTGTAGCATTTCAAATATATGTCAATATATTTGGGAAGAATATTTTTCAAATATATTTCAAATATATTGTTCTTCCATATGGGTTATGATCATGTGACCACTGTAAAAGCCAATCACAGTGGTCACATGACCTGAATGCCCGCCTTTCTGCTTTTAAAACTCTTAAAGAGCCCTCTCCCTTTCAGCGGGTTAAGGTCATTGTTTTGAGCAGCCTTTTTCAACCTTTTCAACACAGAGGAACCCATGAAATAACTTTCTGGACTCAGGGGAGACCTGCAATAAATTGCTATGTCTAAAACTCATGTTACATTAGTGTGATGGTCAGTGGGAAGAATGCTCCTAACACTTGTGTCATTGGGATGAATTACCCCCTTAGCTAAAAAGATCAATGGTATCAGTAGAAATGTATATGAGAGTCAGAAATTTCTCATTGCTCAAGGAACCCCTAGCAACCTCTGGAGGGACCCTGGTTGAGAAACCCTGGTTTAGAGGCAGAGAAACAAACCTTCTGTTTTGCATTTTTTAGAGCGTTTTTTTTTCTGGCAGAAAAAAAATGTTAAACGTACTTAAAAGCTCAAAATTAGTGTTTTTTTTTCTTCCAAGAGCACTGGCATTTTTTTAAGCCAGTGTGATTGTTGCCTAATACAGAAGGTGTGTTACTGGCCAGACCACCAGGTGAAAACAGAAGGAAATTGCCTAAACAGAAACTAATACAGCCACCCCACCTAATGATTGGTAAGCTGCAATATATAACATTTTTGGTTTCAGGCTTAATACTGCTTTAAGTACGGTAAGTGGCAATAGTTTTAATATTACTATTGGAGTAGCAGCAGAAGGTGGCCACCCAGGCTCTGCATATTCATTTGGTCCATCATGTGACATATGGAGCCGCTGCGACCCCAATTTCTGCACCAAATTATAATAAAAATATTATCATGCATTTAGTTAATTAAATAATCAGATTCACAGCTTACTCCCCATACAGATAATAAAGTCTGCAAAGCAGATGATCACTAAGCTAGACCAAACATGGGTCCAGATGGCCAACCATGGGAAAAAGACAAAGACCCCAAATGTTATATGAGGAGCTGGAAACATACAGGTGTCAAAAGTTATGTCATCTTTTCTATGCTAGTAAAACCTACTCTATATATAGTAGCATAATGCAATGCTTACCACATTGTTTGTTATTTAGCATGGTGTGAAGAATATTTGTGCACCACAATCCATAACAGTGGCTGATAAATATTCTTTGGTTTTCAAAATAAACTATGAATAATTGACTACTTTTTGTGTGGTAGCTTTGTAAATTACTGTTACATATTTACATAAATACCTTAAATATACCTCCCAACTGTCCCTGATTTTGAGGGACTGTTCCTGATTTGGAACAAAGTCCCTCTTTTCTCCTCATTTGTCCCTCATTTTGGTCTGAGATATATATATATATATATATATATATATATATATATATAATGCACTATTTATCTTTCAAAAAGTGTTTCACAGTGCTAAGCCTTTCATCCAATTTCTAAATTGTTGCATATGTAAACATCAAAAGCCAGTAAAAAGGAATAGTAATGGTTAAAAAAAAAAAAAAGAAAACATTTGTGGGTTTAACTAGTATTTTTTTGTATAATTCTCCTGTAAGGGGGTGTGGTGGGGGTGTGTTTGCCTACATACATTTGCTAATAGGTGTGCCTCGTTCCCACCCCAAAAAGTTGGGAAGTATGCCTTAAAGCTGAACTCATGGTAAAAAATCCACATTTGAAATACAGTACATACAGGATATAGATGCTGTTTTACCTGCTAAAGGATTTGTATTTCTGTAAATTAATTCTTGAGATCTACACATCTCAGCCACACAGTAAAGACCTGCCTGGTAGGACGGGAGACCAAATTTTTCTTTGGTACAGTTAAAGGCTAAGTGCAGCCAAAATCAAAATAACCAGCACAAGGGGCATAATCCGCAGTCAGAAGAATGTGTCCCTTGTGCTGATTCCTTTTCTGTTTGTGAAAATCTTCCTCCATTATCTCTCATCTCTGCTCTCTCCATCTATACACATTCTACT